CACAAACAGCTTTCTGCAAACTGGAGAGCTGGGGAAACCAGCAATGTAATTCAGTCTGAGGTCAGAGGCCTGAGAACCAGGGAGCCAATGGCATAATTCTCTGTCTGAAGCTACAGGTCTGACATCCTAGTGGAGCCGTTAGTGCAAGGCTAGGAGTATGAAGGCCTAAGAGCCTGGAGTTCTAATGTCCAAGGACAGGAGCAGATGAGTGTCCCAGCTCCAGAAAGGAATTTGAATTTGGCTTTTCTTTGCCTTTTTGTTCTGTCTGGACTCAACTGATTAGATGGTGCTGCTTTCATTGGGTGAAGGTGGATCTTCCTTACTCGGTCCACTGACTCAAATGTCAATGTCTTCCAGAAACACCCCCAGAGATATACCCAGAAATAATGCCTTACCGTGATCTGGGTATCTTTTAACTTAATCAAATTGACACCTACATTTAAGTATCGCACTCCCCTTTGGTTTAATTTCCCTGCCTGAGCTGAGCAAGGGCACCAATTTCGAGAATGATCAGGAACAGGAGACAGGACTGCTGCCTTCTTCTGTGCGTCTGTGTTGCCCAGGGAGCCACTCATATTAGGATAATGCCGACTTTTAGTTCCATGGCTACAACCTCTCAGCCTGAACTTGATTTTCAAATCATCTCCAGGTTTTGCTGCCTTGAGAAGCTGTCAGGTGAAATTTCAAACAATGCTCAGATATAATAATCTTTTAAAGCCAGAATGCTAGAATTTCACCCATGGGTAAGAAAACCCCACAAGCTGGCTTCCCTCTTCCTGTTCCTACATTGCAGTCTCCAGCACAGGCACTGCTCAGCCTCATCTTGACATTTAAGGTTTCTGGCTGTGCTCATCTTCTCTTCCCACAGACAAGAGCTATGAGGAGACACACCAACAAAGTAATTTACATGTGGATTTCTAAACATTCAACTCACCATTTGGAAACAGCAATTACTCTTCCTCTTTTCAAATGACCATACAAATCAGTTTACTTTTGGAACTTTTTAATTTTTTAAGAATTACTCAATTCTTTTCTTATGGTGGTGATGTTCTCGAGGATTTTATTATTATTATTTTTTTTGCCATTTCAACTTTCAATTGGCAAAACTATAACTAAGATTCCCACTTGCTATTTTATGTCACATCTGTGTTCTTTATTCTCACTTAAACCTTTCTTTTATCTTAGCCAGCTAGAATACATAGCAGCCTTACTGCACATGACAGTTTTAAAGTAAATAATTTGTTACAGGAAAATAAATGTTGAATCTGCTCTTATTCTTTTCACCCTTGTGTTACTTTGCTTTAATATTTTCCTTAATTAGAATATAACTTAGGACTTTGGAATTACTATGTAGCAATTTTGTTTACTTGTTAACTCAGATTAGATTGTTTTTCCGTATGAGATGAGCAAAAATGGTAATGTTTTTCACTAAGTTTCTTCTCCTGCCATGTAAATGACTAAGTATTTGTTTAGTAATAGGTATGTGTGATGGAAACTCTGAATATGAATGCCCTTTTTCAATTAACGAAACTCAGAGAACAGCATGATGATGGAAAATCTCTTCCTGGGAAAAATTTTCCTGCATTTACTATTGATTAAAAACCTGAAATAAATGCATTAGTTCATTACGAAATAATTATTCAGCGTGTAGTGTGTACTACATATGAGACACTATTCTAAATACATGTGGGCAAAATAGATAAAATTTTCCGTCTGCAAAAAGCTTATATTCTAGCAGGAAGAGAAAGATAATAAACAAAAAATATAATAAGCAAGTGATAAGTGCCCAAGGGAAATAATGAAGCAAGGTGATGGGAACAGAAATAGGCAGGGAGTGGGTTCCAATTTTAGATCTGGTTGTCCGGGTATGCTTCTCTGAGTAAGTGACATTTGGGGGTGTGGTATGCAGATCACATAAGAACCTCACAAGTCACCATCAGCACTTTGGCTTTATTCTGAGCAAAACAGAAGCGATCGCAGGGTTTAGACAAAGGAATGAGACGATCAGACACATGCTAAAATGATCACTCTGGCTGCTGCTGAGAATAGAGTGTGGGAGGGATACAACAGAAGCAGAAGCACAGACTAATTAGATGACTAATGAATTAATCTAGGAGAGAGATGATGGTGGACGAGCCCAAGGTGGTAGCCGTGGAAGTGTATACTTAGAAAGTAGAGCCAACAGAATTTCCCATTTCAATATGAGTTGCAAGAGACAAAGAGTCAAGGATGACTCAGGGCTTTTAGCCCAGGCAACTGGAAGAATGGAATTGCCATTTAGTAAGCAGGGAAGCTGTGTGGGATGCTCAAGTTTTGGGGAGAAATCAGGAGTTCAGCTTTGAACATGTGGAGTTTGAAATGTCTATTAGATGTGTAAGTAGGAAACCCAACTAGGCAGTCAGAAACACAAACTGGAGCTCAGGAAAGAGGACTGAGTAAGAGATATAAATGCAGAGTTGTCGGTATAGAAAGGGAATCCAAAGCTATATAACTGGATGAACTCATTGAAGGGGATGAGTTTGGTGTCCTGAAAGGCAAGAGAAGTCCACGTGAAGAGGCAGTAATATTTAATGGTGTCAAATGCTGCTGAGAGGTCAAGTAAGAACCAAGAATTCTTGACTGTATTTAGCAGTGTGGAAGTCATCAGTTTCCTTGGCAAGATCAGTTTTAGTGACGTTTTGGGAGTAAAACCCTGATTCAATTAAGTTTAAGATGGGAGCAGGGGATAAATTGGAGACAATGAGTACAGACGATTCTTTTGAGATCCATCCATAGTAGAAGCATGCAGGAAGGCACAGTGTATGGTTACAGATTCATAGGCAGTTGAATTTGGTGTATTTCCTTTTTTAAAAAATTTAGTGAAGGAAAGACTTATTTCATGGTTACCTGTTAAGAAGCACACACTCACTTAGATAGGTAACCCTAATTTCACCACTCTTCAAATATGTTTTTTATTTTTATTTAAATAGAGATGGGGGTCTTGCTATGTTGACCAGTCTGGTCTCAAACTCCTGGCCTCAAGCGATCCTCCCATCTCAGCCTCCCAAAGTGCTGGGATTACAGGAGTATGCCAACACAACTAGCCCTATGAATCCATTTTAGAAGGCATAGATCCACTTTCTTCTCTTTGTGGTTGGTTAAGACATGCACCCTTAGTTTTTCTAGTTTCAGTTTCACCATCTTATTTCTAATTACAGCAGTCTGGCAATTTCCCTTCCTCTTTGGACTTGATGTTATGTCATACTCATGGAGAGTTACCCCCAACACTCTGCCCAGCTCCATTTCCTCCACAGTGCTTCTCCTCTTTCAACCTGCTCATTGCTAGTCTTCGTCATTTCAATTTCCTCAACTGTGAGGAATGGAGACAGTCTCTTCAGCTACTTACGAGGCTAACAGTTTAAGCCTGGGCAACACAGACCCCGTCTCTACAAGCACTTTTTGTTTTAAATTAACTGGGCATGTTAATGCATGCTGTGGTCCTAGCTACTTGAGAGGCTGAGGTGGGAGGAGTGCTTGAGCCCAGGAGGGTGAGGCTGCAGAGAGTGGTGACGTGCGCTGCACTCCAGGCAGGGTCACAGGGCAAGCACCTGCCTCAGGGGAAAACCAAAAACAAACAACAACAAAACAAGAGTTTAAGTCTGAGAAGTGAAATGGGTCTAACCCATACAAAGAATAGAAAGAAGATGAAAGCAGTAGGTAGCACGGGGGAGGAAAGAAAATGAGAAAACATGAGTTTTACCATTTACTTAGGCTGAACTCCTACCATGTCATCTTAAAGCACCGTATGTATTGAGTTCCTGTCTTCTGACAATATGAAGGTGCTCTAGATATTGCATGTTATTAAGAGCAACACGAGATTAAGAAATTTTGTCACACTTAATGTGGTTGTACTTAGGTAACATTTACTGAGCAATGCCTATGAGGCATTTGGCTAAGCCCTTTCCATATGTTGTTTAATTCTTTCCCTCATAATAAAGTGAGGTATGTATTACTATGCCCATTTCCGAGATGAGGAAACAGAGAGGTGAGAGAGAGAGGCTCAAATAACTTGAGGCTTTTCAGCATTACTACCACTTTCAAGCAAATATATTGTACATTTATTTGTGTATGACTATGCAGATATATCCATAGTTAGCTCCTTTACCCAGGGCCATTTTTCATTTTACAAGGAATTCATCACTGACATTAACTCATAAGCCACCTCAGTGCATTTGAGATCAATTTATAAAGTTTGGTTGCTGCACAATTTTTCAAAAACATGTTTTCAGGTTATTGAAACCCATATTGCCTACCATATGTTAGGCACTCTGCTGGGTGATAAAATGGAAGAATGTAAAATCACTTCTCCAAGGAGCTCAGATTCTTCTTTTGTAGGAAAGTCAATTATTCATTCCCTCATTCAAAAGTATTATTGAGTGTCTTGGAGTATGCTATAGTTTAGGTAAGAATAAATCAAGCTAGAATTAGCGTACTTAGTAAGAAAAGATGCACAAATAATGGCATTTATCTTACACGGTCCTTTTAAAACAATACTCAAGTGCTTGAACCTCTAGAGCCAGTCCACCTGACTTAAAAATCTAGCTCTGTCAGTTACAGGCTGTGTGATATTGAGCTAGCCACAGAGCCTCTTTAAAGCCTTCTGTTTCCCATCTATCACATGAGAATAGTAACTCATCAGGTTGCTGTGAAGACTAAAAGTATGTGTAAAGTATTTGGAAGAGGACCTATGTAAGTATTAGTTGTTATTATTGTGATACAGACTTACCATGTGCTGAAACAGTTGCTAATTCTTAACTATAATAAGTAGGAGAGTAAGTGCTCTGTAATTTTTTGTTGAATAGAACTTCCTAGAAGCTGAGTTTCTCTGTAGATATGTCTAGAGTAGCCTCAGATTCCTTTTCCATCATATTTCTTCATTCTGAACCCAATGTGAAATCAGTTATTGTCCTTGGCTGCTCCATTCTGTGTTTTTTTGTGGAAATGGGGAAGCTGATGGGCTGTTGGTTTTTTGTTTTGTTTTGACATTGCAGATGATCAGAGTTATTTTTCATTATTTATCATTGGTAGACTTTTTTTGTATAATTTTTTTTTAAACCAGAACATTTATTACATGACAAATCGTTGAAATTCCAAGATGAACTGGGTGCTGCAACAGCTGCCTTCTTGGGTTGAGGTGTTGTTCCTTCATGGAATCCACGCCTGAATCTGTGGTATACAATTTTTAGGTGCCTCCCTGGACCAGTCCCAGTGGTATTTCGTCTTTTAGCCTTGGCACTCCAGTTACACTTTCTCTTACACTTGGCGGGGTAGCCACATTTGCCACAGGTTGACTTCTGAAGGTGGCAGGCCTTAGAGGCACAGTGGCAGCACAATGTGTGCGTCTTATTGCCCCGCTCTCCAAACGATGATGTTCCCTTCGTCATCTCGCTTCTGCAGCTGAGAACAGAGACGGTAGAGTTCTTACTAATTTTATGCAGGCTATAGGCTGAATACTGTGTGTCCCCACCCCGCCCTCCATTTTCTATGTCGAAATCCTAACCCCTGAAGTGATGGGAATAGGAGGTGGTGCATTTGGGAGGCAATTAGGTCATGACGGCGGAGTTTTCATGAATGGGATTAGTGGCCTTAAAAAGGAGGCCTGAGAGAGACCCTCACTCCTTTCCCTATATGAAGACACAGCAATAAGTTACCCTCTGTGAACCAGAAAGAAGGACACACACAGATGTGGAATCTGCTGGTGCCTTGATCTTGGACTTCCTAGCCACCCCCTAACTGTAAGAAATAAAATTCTTTTTTTTCTTTTTTTTGAGACAGAGCCTCACTCTGTCACCCAGGCTGAAGTGCAGTGGCAAGATCTTGGCTCACTGCAACCTCCACCTCCCAGGTTCAAGTGACTCTCCTGCTTCAGCCTCCCAAGGGATTACAGGTGCCTGCCACCACTCCTAGCTAATTTTTGTATTTCTAGTAGATTTAGTGTTTCACCATTTTGGCCAGGCTGGTCTCTAACTCCTGACCTCAGGTGATCTGCCAGCCTCAGTCTCCCAAAGTGCTGTGATTACAGGCATAAGCCACAATGCCCAGTCAATTTCTCTTGTTTATAAGCTACCCAGCTTATGGTATTTTGTTATAATAGCCTGAATATACTAAAACAATCCATTAAGTTTCAAGAATTATTTTTCTGATCATCAAAGTAATGTGTGCTCAATATAGAAACAATTCAAACATACAGAACTTGATAACAGAAAGTGAAAGGCCCTAGTAATCCCACATCCAGAGTTAATCACCATTAACAGCTTGTTATATATGCTTCCAGATTTCATCTGAAGCATACATTTAATAACATGCATATCTTAATGCAAATCCCCCCCAAAAATGGAATCATACTATTCATATTGTTCTGCAGCCTGCTTTTATTTTCACTTATAGATTTTCGGCATCCTTTCATGTAGGTACAAATAGATCTAGCTTATTTTTGTTAATGGCTGCTTAAGGTTTCCTTCTACAGATCTAGCAAAATTTGCTTAAACAGTTTTCTACTGGAAGTTTATTATTTGATTTTTACACTATTACATGTTCTCACTATTACAAACAATGCTGTGATAAAGCCACTTGTAATATATATATTTTTGTACATGTGTAATTATTTGTGACATAATTTTTGCACAAATCTGCTTAAAGTACAAACTCCTAGACATGGAATTATCTGTTCAAAGAGAACACACCTATTTATCAAAAATTTCCAAACTGTCCTCCAAAGGGATTTGTCCAATTTCCTCTTACATTTAAAGTGTGAGAGAATGTCTATTTCTCCACAATGTGACTGTTTTCTGAGTATCACTTCTTTTCTCAGTTTATACCAATCTTGAAATCATGTTTTTCAAATCTAGTATCACAATATAAAACCCAGGGAAGATCAAAAGAGCAAAGTACAGAAGACTTTATTATTATTATTTTTTACAAACAGTAAAACATTCCAAATTCATTATAATAGTGGGCTGTTTTCAATCAAAATATCACTCCACTAGTTGTTAAGTTGTAAAAGACCTCTCATCTCTTAGATCAGCAAACCTGACACTGATTAGATCGCTTGCCACACACTCCTTGCCCACATACCTCCTTCTTGGCAGTGTGTGCAACAGGAGAGGCTGCTGGCACGGAGAAAAAGTGGGAGCAAGAGAAGGGCCGAGGGCTCAGAATCTGGTGTCATCTTGTAAAGGGTCTCGGGCATTCCCCCGAGTGTATTCTGGATCTCTCTGTTCATGTTCCTGTTTGGGCTGCTCTTCCTCATGTCTAATGCCTGATAGCCAAGTGCTCACTATCCAAGGGTCAGTTCTATCACCTCCTCTCTGAATCCTTTCCTGAAACCCTAGACAATCATTCTCTTTAATATCTCACTATCTCTGAACCAACACCTTCCTGAGTACCCATAAGATTCTGTGCAGCATTCTGATTAAGAACATTTAGATGCTGCGTAAATGTTGATTGAACATTTGCTGACATGGAGAGATCTTGGCAGAAGACAGATGAGACTTTCCATGGTTTACAGAAACACATGGATTCAGATAAAAGATACTGAAGCACAGGATTGAATCACGTATTTTGTTAGAACCAAATAATTCCAAACATCCCGCCTTCATTTATTTCTTGGCCCCTGCCTCTTCCCACCCACACACGAAAACTGCAAACGAGCCTTGATCCTACAACAACAGCGCCTATAGGGCTGCAAAACTCTCTTAGCAGAGAACAATCTTTTCATCTGCCTGTTTCAGATATATGACATTTTTGATGAAAAGAATGGGAAGGGGCGGAGTCAGATAAAAACAAGCACCGACTTTCCAATACAGCTTCAATAGCAGACAGAACACATGAAGCTGGAAACTACCCATGCCAAGAAATAGTTGTGTGTGCCCTAAAGTTCAGGTAAGTATTCTTAGAGTTGGAAGGCGCTTAAGTGACTTTTTAACGGAATTCAACCTCCCAACCCCCGCGCCAAGTCTTACTATCAAGAGTTTTAGTCGACCGGACGGAATCCCTTGCCCAGGACGGGTGAAGGTCCCTGATGTTGCCTCGCACCTGACTGGCAACGGCGCCTGCCCGGCCCGGAGCCCTACTCAGGTGGGCGCTAGAGAGAGCATTTCAGCGATGGCGTTGTAGGCGGCTGTTCTTCCCCTCCCAAGCACCTGCTCGGCATCTAGCAGTTGCTCGTCGCCACTCCCCAACCCCCGGCCACCTCCCTAGCCACACAGACCCCGTCCGGTCAGCAGGCCAGCTCGGCTGAGGAAGCGCCCCGACCCCCGCCGGGCGCTGCAGGGCGACCGGCGAAAGCGCTCGCAATCACATGGAGGCCCGGGCCCGCCCCATTGGCTGCGGCCGGGCCAGTCGCGGCGCTCGCCGGCTGCGGTTGGTCCCAGAGCCGCAGCGCCTGCACGGGCCCGGAGTCCATGTTACGCTTTGTCTAATTCCCCTCGTTACAGAGTCATGTGCTGCTGCTCCCGTCGCCGCCGCTGCCGCTGCCGCTGCCGCCGCCCGTGGTGCCCCGGCTCCTCCGCCGCGCTTCGAGGTGGCAGCCGCGGGCGGGGCCGCGGGAGCAGGGTCCAGGGCGCAGCGCGCCTTTGCCGCCCCGGCGCCTCCCGGTGCAGCCGCCGCCCGCCGCGGGTGATGCGGCCACCTCCGGCCTCAGCATAAGCCGTGGCTCGGCGGCCGAGCTGCCTCCCAAGGTTGGTGCGCACCTCTCCGGGCAGGGGCCGGGGGCTGCGAGGGAGGGCGACGCGCAGGTGGAGCCGAAGCGCGCAACCCTGGCGCAGGCGCCGCGGCCCGAGCTGAGGCTGAGGCCGGGAACTCATTCGGGGACGTCCGTGGGTCGGGAGGCGGCGGCGGCGAGCGGGGTGGGCCCCCGTTTTCAGCCGCCAGGGCCTGGGAGATTGTTCCGCTTTCTGCTGTCTTAGCGGCGGCCGCTTCGACCGCGGGCGGCGGGCTCTGCGCTAGGGGAGTGCGGCCGCCTGGCTCCTGGACCCCTCGCGCGCGCTCCCTTTTCTCGCCTTCCTTCGCCCAATCGGAAAGGCGGGGAGAGCCGGTTTCGGCTCCGCTGGTTCCTCCCGGAGGTAGGTGTTTGGTGTCTGGCCTTGCTGGCCCGGTGTCCTTAAGGTGAACCTTGAACTTCTCCAGAATCGCCTCCCCTCCACTTCCTTCCTGTGGCGGGTGGGCTGCCCTAGGAGCCCGGCGGGCGGGGGCGGGGAGATGAAGGCCCCCGTCCCGCCCCCCGCGCCTGTGGGAGGGAGCTGGGGGCCCGCAGGTGCACCCTACCGGCCGCGAGCCATCTCCGGGTTGGGTACCGGTATAATCCGCTTCTAGCTTGTTTGGAGGCGTGGGCTCTTGGGAGCGGGACTTCTGCTCAAATCCTGTCCAGGGGCTTGGAAAGGAGGAGAATTGGGGGTGGTTGCCCGGAGGACCAGCACCTCCGGTTACTGGAGGGTTGATAGGACCTTCCCCTTTCAGTCCCCCTTTACTGGGGGATATTCCTTGCAGTTAAATGAGATTTTTTGATTTCTTAAGAAGCCAGCCGCAGCGAAGAAGAACTGCTGCAGGTCGAGGGAAAGAGAGGTAGGTTCCTGCTGGAGAGGGAGAGGTGGGCTGTGAGGTCTCAGGAGCACACAGTTGGGGGTGTATGTGGCCGAAAGTGTAGAGGCAGCGTTGTAAGAAACAGCCAGAGGAGAGGGAGAGCGCACTCAGGAGGAAGGGGGAGAAATGGGGAATAGATACTGGGGAGTCCTAGCGGAATGTAGGACCCAGCTGGAGCCGCTTGGGCTTATATTTGGCTCCTCGTTGCCTCGCAGATTTCCTGCGCTTGGATCTTGAAAAATGTTTTTTGTTGGACAAAGAAAGCTGTGAGGACATATTTTGGAAGAGAGATAGGACTGAAGAGCTGACTTCTGGAAACTTTCCTTGGCAGCTTTAATAGTAAAATTCCGTTCAGGCAGGGTTTATTGAGCACCTATTATGTGGTCCGTACTGGACTTTGGAAGAGTCTGGACAGGCAGGGAATTCCCATTTGCAGTAATGGTGAGGGCTGTCTACCTTATAAACAACCAAGGAGCCCGTCCCAGTGCCAAGAATGACAGTGATTCAGACCTTCCTCGTCAAAGCATCTGGAGCCTCTCTGCCTCTTACAGACCTGTGGGAAGAACCCTGTACCGTATACCGTAAATGGGGTCTTCAGACAGCATTTATTTTTACAGTCCAAAAATAGTGACTACACACCTACTGTCAGCTAGGTCAGGGTTGGGGCTCTTGCTTCATCTGTCTTGACACCAACTAACTAAATTCCTGTTAAAATCCAAGTGCAAGATAGGGAAGAATCTGAGATGAAAATAACTGGTTAAAACAGGAGTCACAGAAAGTTGATTTGGGGGCGTTTGGTCTCTGTAGGTTATTTATGGAGCCCCCCATAAAATGATTAGGCAATCGATGGAGCCAGGGAGAAATTCCAGAATCTTGAATTGGCACAGTTTATTTATATATCTGAACACTTTATCATAGATTTGTCTCATTTTTATTGAGGGTGTATGTGTGTGTGTTGATTAAAACCTAACAGATTAGAAGGTTGGAGATGAAACTGTCCTTAGATGACCCAGCCTTCCATGACCATGTGGAGTAGCATATGATGCAACAGTTAAAGTATTGAGCCATATTCATATCATTTTCTTCCTGCTGTGTTTTCCAGCATTTAAAAAATGTGGTCAAAACTTGGCCTTTTTTTTTTTCTCAAAATCGGTAAAGTTTAATGGAAAAAAAAGAAAAACTAGGCCCCGTCTTCCTTTTTTTTTATGCAGAGTTTTAAAAATTAATTTTAGAAAATTCTGATGTGTTTGTCTTGTCCAAATAGTTAAATTGTTTTGGTAGCTATAGTTTGGAAATTAGACTTGATTCTATTTTCAGTACTGTAGACAAAATAGCTATTAAAAACAAAAGTGAAAAGTTTGTCAGAACTTTATAATCATGATTATATGTTCTTGAAGTGGTAGCTTGTAAGGGATTTCACTTATTTTTAATTGGAGCTGGTGTTTGACATTCTAAGAAACAGCAGTTAATATTTGTTGAGTGCCAGCAGGAAGCAGAGAACTGGAGTGAGTACTATCGGATCTTAACAAGGCAGGAGAGGATTCTTGTAGTAATCACAGAGAGCAGATAAGACAGGCACACATGAGGATGCTAGCAGAAGCAGACAGTTACAGTTGTCTAAAATCCAGGGTGTGTGGAACCCGATGAAAGTGTACGAAGCATGTTGAGGGAGGCGTGGAAATCTGAATTGACTTTTGACAGTGGTCAGCGTTGTGGAACAGAAAATATGAGTTAAAAAGGAGGGTAGAGGGAACCTAGTTAGTGGAAAGCTTAACCACAAGTCAGTGGTGTTAATCATTTGCCTCAAGACCAGTGGCTCTCAGCAGTAGGCAGTTTTGCTTCTCAACAGACATTGCTAAATACCTGGAGACATTTTTGGTTATCATAGCTAGGGGGCAGGTACTGCTGTCATCTAGTGGGTAGAGGCCAGAAATGCTATATAAGCATCCTACTGTGCACAGGACATCAACCCCCTTCCTCATAAACAGAGAATGATCCTGTCCTAAGTGGTGATAGTGCCAAGGTTGAGAAACCCTGCCCCTAGATCTCAGAAGGTCTTGAAGGGAGATGGTGCTTGACATGGGAGGAATAATAACATTGAGCTTAGGAAGCGGATCTAGGAGACTTCTGTGCTCAGGCCTCATGTGATTAGGGTCTGGGCAAATCCTAGTTGAAAGAAAGGGGCAGTTTGGAGGGAGAGCATAGCAGATTAACTATTAGCACAGTATGATAGTGGAATAAATTGGGAATCATAGAATCCAAATTGGCATTTTAGAGGGGCCTTGTCCAATTTATTTATTTTAGTAAATTCTTAACCATTGCTAGGTAACCTTTGTTTAAATAACACCAGGAACCGTGAACAACTTCTCCTGAAGATATGTTATTACTACATCTTTGGACTGTTTGTTGTATTACTACTTGAGCTGAAGACTGTCTCCTTGAATTTTTTTTTTCCATTGATTTCATTACGTTGGAGCTGCTGTGCTCTTTGAATGCACAAGGACAGTATGATGTCCCCTTACCCCCAGTTAACTTTCCTAATGCAAACTAGTCCCAGTTCTTTTCACAGCCTTATTTTGGGATGCAGTTTCTAGATGTCTTCTCAGTTTGTCAGCATCTTACATGGAGAGTCTGGAATTGAATATGTAATTGAGATATGATCTGGCCAACAGAGACAGCTGTTTGCTGAGACCTGGCGAAAATGTCTGTTTACTGCACCTTAAGCTTACAGCTGCCTTTGGTGTTTTTTCGGCAGTGCTGAGCACAGACTTCTTCATTAGGTAATCATGTTTTGGATAGTCAAAACCCCTCGATATTTGCTCTGTGAGCTGCTGCATTTTGTATTTTTTGAGCAGATTTTTTTGGAGAAGTTTTTTTTTGTTGTTCCTTTTTGATGTTAGCCTACTTATTTTGATCCTGTCTTCTAGCCTTTGACATTTTTGAATTTATATCTTCTAATTATATCAGAGAGGAATGGAGGATGACTTTATTGAAAACTTTGTAGTCCATTAGTCAGTAGTTTGGGGCACTGCTGGTCCTTTTGAGAGCCGGAATTACTGAGTGATGGAGGTGAGTTCTAGGGCAAATTAGCCCTTAGTTTGGGGGCTTCTGAGAAATCTAAATGCCAAGCCACATGGCATTTAGCTCTTGAAATGTTTGTACTTGAGGTACCATTTTGAAGTAGTTTGAGTCTGTTCCAAGCTTCTGAAATCTGTATTCCTTCCTCTGGGTCTTTGTGGTTCTGTTTGCCTCTCTGGAAGAGAGTTTTTAATGTTTTGTGCAAATCTGAAGCTTGCAGGATTAGAACTGCTTTTGAAATTTGTGAGGAGGTAGGATAACCGGCAAAATCAACTGTGGACTTGGTTCCCACTCAGCTAAGCTTTGTTTCCTTTTTTGCTAATATTCCTTAAATACTTAGTGACAGCCTTATATTTAGGGAAGGAGAGAGGACAAACATTTTTCTCGGAGCTGGGCTTCAACTTGTCATTGATGTAAGTTCATACTTGACTTTTATAGTCTTCACTACAAAGACATTAGGAAATTACCATTCCCAGGTGTCTTCTGAAGCAGGCAGATAAGAAATCCCAGATAACTTAGTGCCAAGTTCTCCAGATACTCTAGATCTATCCAGTGAACTAGATTTAATAAATTACTTGATTTGGCTGGTAGCTATCTTACAGTATTGAAGGAGTGCTAGAGGAAAATTTCAAATCTCATAGCCAGTGTGTGTGACCTCTTTGTGATGAATGTCATTGTGTCCCAGTCCTTTGTTAGTGTGTTGCCTGTCCAGGTAGTGCAGTTTACTTGGTCTCCCTTCTCTACCAGTTCACATGTGAAACGTCTTTGTATTTTCTGGAGATGAAGGTTATTCCTATGAAAAGAAGGGATGTCTTCTGAATAGTTGAGATTTCTTGAGGGGAAAATTATTGCTGTCCTTTTATATCTTCAAAGGCTGTGTCAAAGTTGAAGTCTCCTTAGAATTAGGGATGCAGTTGTGTCATTTTGAGTAGAAAGATAGAATATTAAAGCTGGAAGGGATCAACCCTTGAATTTTATAGTTGAGCATATCCAGGCACAGGGAGGTGATGTGTAAGTTTACACATGTAGTGACAGAGTAGGCATTAGAATCTGTCTTCCTTAAAGACCACAATAAAGGCGAAGGATCAGGATTTGTTCTCTGCTTAGAGGTGTGTAAACAGTGGGGTCCCTGGGGTCTTATTTACATAATTGATCTAAAAGAAGGAGCACACAGTGGAATTCTAGGTTTGCAGATGACAGTAAGCTTTTCTGGATTATGAAATGTCTAACCACTGGGGATTTGCTTCAGGAAAACCACACTAGGATGTATTAGTCATCAGAAGATTTGCAGGTGAGTTTCTTGTAGGCAAATAGGAGGTTGGGTATTAAGAAGAACTTACAGAATTTCCATAGGATGGTGTTTTGTTGGATAAACTAAGGGAGGGGCTCTGAAAATAGCTTCACA